CCCCAAAACCCCAAAACCCCAAAACCCCAAAACCCCAAGATTTTTATAAATATTTGAATTAAATCAAAATGAGCTCAGATACCTCATCAAGCAAGAACTCTTCAGATAGCATAAAGGATGGATTAGATTTGATCAGGAATAATAAGAGAGATCCCAGCTTGAACATTGGTAGGAGATCTTTACAATATCTAGAAAGTTTCCGAATTCTTAAATTCAACAAAAAGAAATCTAGAATGGCAAGAGTGCCTACTTCCAAGAACCCTAATTCGTTAGATGAGGATGTAGGAAGCAATAAAACTCGGAGTAAACACCTGTAGGTTAGCTTTAGGACAAAGTACGACTGATTGAAGAAAGCTCTCTCTTCTCAGCCATGCCAAGAAGTATTAAGACAAGGAAATAATCCTCCTAAAGCTCAAGATGATTTTGGGAAGCAATGGAAACTTAGTGATATTGGTACCAAGAGTTTGAAATGTTTAGATAATTTCATGAGTGAGAGAACTAGACAAATCGTAGAACCAAATTCGCCTTTTAAATAACTGTAACTCTTAAGCTAAGCTTTAGATGCTAAACATGACTATGTGAAATTCTTTGAAAAATTACCTTCAGAAGATAGCTCAGGTCTGAGGTAATTATCCTATATAATCAATAGTAAATCTATGAGAGCTGATAGTTTATTTGGATATCATATGAAAGAAATGCAGAATAGAGATCAAATGGATAGCAAAGATTTCCTGACCTCTTTAACCAAGCCTAAAAAGCTTAATCTCGATAAGATTTCAGGTAATTTTGCAAACTAAAGATAAAAGATCCAACTGTGAACCTAGCAAGGCATCGATTATTGGTATCAAAGTTAAGGTAAATTACAACCTTGAATTCTCTAAGTTCTGATATAGGCAAGAGAACAAAGGTAAAAGCTCAGACCTCCAAGTGCTTGGTTTAATATGAAATAGAACTGAGAGAGCATATCAAGGTCATTAAAGAAGCTCAGAAAGTAGAAATCAAAAATATACAAACAGCTTTAAGAATAGAGATTGAAAAGGAGTTTGAAATCAGAGTTCAAAGGATGGCCGAGACTCTCAAGTTAGCTCAACATGGTAAGATTTCATTCATTCAAGCCTTTATTCATACTGATTTCACATTCGAGCTTCTTGAACACTTTAGTAATCTTAAATTTGTATGAAATAGAGTATTTTTATTCGTTCAAAAAATCGAACTTTATTAGTCTTAATAGGCTATCGAGATCATTAACATTAGCATCAATAACAATTTAGGGAATAACTTCTCAATAGAAGAATAAATCTTCTTCTGTTTTCTTCGTACTCAGTTATATTTGGTTAATCTTGCTTCTGCCTAGAAAGTCACCAAGAATATTTCAAATTCAAAATGAACATATTTTATCTTATATCAATCACTTCTCTGACTTATTTCTCTAGGAGCAAAAACGATCAGAGACCCTGAAATAATAGACATGCAGAACCAAAAGACAATTGAGAAACTGGCACAGTTTATAGGTATCTTGATTAGCTCATCTGTAGTCTACCAAGAATTACGATTTAATGATATCATTCACAAGATCAGAATGGACCTCATAGATGAGGCGTATGTGCTTATAGTCATCTCTGTAGCAGGGAAATTGCCCTTGATCCAAGCTCAGCCATTTCAAAACTCATCACGGAAGGAGCCATCAAGGAGCATGACTTCGATTTCAGAATTGACAATATTAATAGTGACATCAAAACCTTTTCTGATGCATATAATCGGTATATTGAAGCTATTAAGAGGAAGAAATTAACCAAGAGAAAGTAAATTATTCATATGACTTTAGGGATAGGAAAGCCATTGCTAAAGACATTAAGACTTGGAGAGGTCTTAGAGAAATTATTCCTGAAGTTATCCCAATTTCAAACCTCATTCAGACTATCAAAACAGGGCGAGCTCGATTCTTCTTTAACAAATTGAACTCAAATTTAAAAGAAGAGGCAACATTTGAGGCACAATGGGAACCAAAGAATGCTCTCAATGATGTTCTTACTGAGGTATTTTCCTTGGGCATCATTTAGACTAAAATATACAAACTTAAGATAGATCAACTCACCGAAGAAATCAACACATTAAAATCTCTCACAGAAAATTTTATGGAAGAAATCGCAGCTAAAGATGGCAAAATATCTACTCTTAAATAAAGTAAGCAACATTGTATAAATGTTAGCAACTATTCTCTCTTGAAAATGACAAAAAGGAGAAAATCACTAACATTGAACTTCTTCACAAAAGATATAAGGAAGAACTGAGAGAACTTGAGGAGGAAAATCGCACACAAATTGATAAAATTCAAAAAGACTTTGAAATAGAGCACAAGGTTAGTGCCTTTATTAATGCTTAGTTGTGGAAACAGATTGACAAAAGAAGAAAAAAATATGCTAATTATCTTGCAAAACAACTTGTACTTGCTAAGAACATCATTAAAAGACCCAAGGACATGATGAAAATGACGTAACATTCTTGCTAATACTCCATAGACGAGAGATGAACTTTAAGATAATACAGCAGTAGTTTTTCCTACTTGACTTCTATAGCCTTAGCCCAGGCCCAAAGAGCACAGAGAGAATTAAGAGTTCAAGAAAGGATAGAAAAACCGTGCTCTCACTGAATACATCTCGAACTAGGATCAACACACAGTTGGATAGAAATATGACACAGAGCAGTATCAAATTTGTTAATTTCAATTCATAGCCATATTTAGGGGTTTTGGGGTTTTGGGGTTTTGGGGTTTTGGGG